ACGAAGGAGTCGTAGGGCGGGAAGGAGTAAGGAGAAGGTAAAAGAAGAAAAACGAGGTTCTCAGAAATTCAGTAGAAGCAATTTGTCGTTTTTCCTTTTGTGCATCAGCTGTTAAGCGAAGAAAAATTTGTAAAATCTTTTCCTTCTATTTCTTTTGCTTATCTGTCCTCTTTCGGAAATATTCCCTTTAGTTTCAATGCATTTTCTGATCTTTCTTCTTTTCCTAAAATACTTTTATTGGCATTTGCTATTTCTTCCTCTTCTTTTGAACAAAAATTACTCAGAAAATAACGGTCAGTTATGACGATGAAAAATACAGTTATTATGAAATAAACGATGTGTAAAAAATAATTTGTTTATTTATGAAGGTTTTCATGTGTCAAAGATTAAATGCTTCAAAAAGTAGTCCTTTTTCCATCTCTTGTTTTTTTTTTTGTTTTTATTTAAAAACTCTAAAGTTTACTGTAGCTTATGCAGTTTGTTGAAAAATGAAGGTTTAAAAAGTTATGGTATTTGTTTGAGAAGTGAAAAAAAAAATGTTGAAGAAAATTGATAATGCCGAAAATTTTTTAAATATTTCATTATGCTCATCTGAAGACTACATTTTCAGTTCATCAATTCTGGTTTTATTGTTGTTGCTTCCTTTAACTGACAGCAGCAACAGTCAGGAGGTTGCCCTAGTCTGTAACCAGTGATTTGGTTTGAAAACTCTCTGAAATGATTTAGATTTGACAGACACCCTCGAACGTTGATACTGCTGCATGTAAAAAGCAAGAAAAGAAGCTTCTGAATAATGCTGATAAAAAAATGGTCAAAAGTTATGTAAATTGGCAATTTCAAAAAAAAAAAATTCTTTTCTTTTTTCTAAATGTTTGACATATTTGGTTTTCAATTTGCCACCACTAAGGTAACCAAAATACGTAAATTTTTACTTCATAATACACTTTATAATATTTATACTTTTTTTGAAGCAAACTCTGTTACCTGTTCAAAACTCATTTACATCTTTGAATATCTAAATAATATTTTGTTGAACTTTCAGCACGACCCGTTCTTTTCCTTCTTCGTTTATTTCAAGTCAAAAAAAACTGGAAAAAAAGCGAAACAAAAAGAACTGGAAAAAAAA